CCTTGGAAAGGTGTGATACGCTTCAGGAAGGATGCAAAATGGGGTCCCCGTTATATTGGGCCTTTTCAGGTGATTGTCAGGTTTGGCAAGGTTGCTTACAGATTGGATCTCCCTGAGGAGCTCATTTAGATTCACGACACTTTCCATGTTTCGAGGCTGCGAAAGTGTGTATTGGATGAGGATGCAGTAGTTCCCTTGGATGATATTCAGGTCGATGAGCGCATGAACTATGTTGAGAGTCTGGTAGATATCCTGGATAGGAAGATGAAGGTTTTACGTAGCAAGGAAGTACCTTTGGTAAAGGTACGGTGGCGATCAGAGGGGCTCCGAGTGGACCTAGGAGTCGGAGGCTGAGATGCGGGAGCATTATCCAGATTTGTTCACTGCAATAGATTTTGAGGACAAAGTCTAGTTCAAGTGGGGGAGAATTGTAACATACCGATGTTCAGGTACTTCTAAATTCATCCCTATAATTCTATTTCATGTCAATTGGTCAAGTTGTAACACCCGACAATTTGAGGAGAAACTATGGGTATAAATCACCTTTTGAGGATTGGACACAACATGTTGGAAGCACCAACACGACATGTCAAGATAAGAAAAGACGTGGGTTTCATTATGGGCAACACGGTGTTTTTCCTCTTGGAACATGGTGTGTTGATGGCTGGAATGAAACCCTAATCTTCTGGGTTTTTGCTCCCTATTTAAAGGAATGAGGAGTCTAGGGTTTGTTCACCCTCAGCCCCCATCATCCTCTCATGCCCTGAAAAGAAACCCTAATCATCTTTCCCTCCCATTTTTGAGCTAGTTGGTGTTTTTGAAGCTAAAGAAGGAAGAAGGTGGAGGAAGGAAGCAAAATTCCAACAAGCAAGCCCCCATTCTTCAGTTTGGCACACTTCTGGACCTTTGTAAGTGTCCAAGACACGATTTTTATCATTCAAAGTTGTTAGACCTTGAGTTTTGTCCCTTTTTCTTCTTGTTCTTGAATGTTGAAATGGTTAGATTTCATAAAGTTTGCAACTTTATGAATCTCCAGGTCAAAGTGACCTAGTAGTGTCTTGGATCTGGTATATAATCAAGTTTTGATGCCATGCATAGAGATTAGGTCATAAATCCTCATTTTGACCAAATATGTGTTCAAGACATGCATTGGACATGCATTTCTAAAAAGCACCAACCTTTGGGATGATTTTGGTGTTAGAATCACTTATGGAAAGGATGGACTTCAGACTTTAAGGATTAAGTGCGTATTGATTAAGCCCTTGAATTATCAAGCTTTATGGTTTGGGTTTTGGACCTTTTTGGTAGTCCCAATGGATAAAGTTAGAAACTTTATCCTTCTTAATCACATTTTGGTCTAGATCTGAGCTTTGGAGCTCTTGGAGTCGAAAAGGCAGCTGAATGTATTAAGTTGTTGGAACTCAGGCGACCATGACGTGTTTGCAAGTCAACACGGCGTGTTGGCTAAGGTTTCCCCGACTGTTTGGATGCTGGCGGAACACAGCTTGGCCAAGGGGAACACAACGTGTTGGGTCAACATGGACTGTTGACCTTGACCTTTGACTTTGACCAAGTCGGACCTTGAGGGTATTTTGGGATTTTGATGGAATTGAGCACTTGGTGGAAATAGGTATCGGTTAGAGAGATGAGATTCAGAGTTGGACCTCATCAATTCTGTTCAGTCTGCGAGGTGAGTTTTCCTCACTGTACTTTTTAGGTTGAAGGCGCCAAGGCCGACCCTTTGGATTGTTATCCTGGTTTATCGTATGATTGTGTACTGTAGTGATATGTTAGATCTATATCCTGTAAGATAAGATGATGTTATGATTAGTGATTTGTAAGATCTATCTATTTGTTATTGGTTGGTTATTTGTATGTTTGTCTGTTATATATATGTGTGTCGACACGGTGTATGTGTGGTTGGGTTGAGGTGGTCTTGCTTTGTGTTGAAGGCCAACAGACCCAGGGCGTCCCGGATAGACTGAAGGCCAGTGGGGCGTACCAGTCAGGCCGACACCCGAAGAACGGTCCAGATAGGATGAAGGCCCGGTGTGGCGTACCAGTCATGCTGAAGGTTCTGTGAGCGTACTAGGTAGACTGTAGCTAGGTCGGTGCGGCGTTCCAGTCATACTGAAGGCCCTGTATGCATGATGTTTGCTGTTATTATTATGATAATGCGATGTGTTGGTATATTGAGGGAACTCACTAAGCTTTGGGCTTACAGTTTTGAATTATGTTTCAAGTACCTCAGATGATCGCGGGAAGGCAAAGGCGTGATCGTGCACCTCCTTGTGTTTTGTTTTATGATCTTGGGGGAAAACTCTGACATTAAACATGTTTTGAAAACTATTTTGTAAACCATGATGATTTGTGGAATGGTTTCAAAAGTTTAAATTTTTCATGAATTTTATGGATGTTACACAATAACAATAATGGTAACCCGATCCCCTAAAGGCAGAGCAATGGAGAGATAATATAGCAGGCAACCTAGATTGTTTCTGTAGATGACCTCCGTTATTAAAAAAAAGCAAAAACATGTTAGATAATTAAATTAAAATCAAGTTATGATAGCATTATCCCGCTTTGAATTGCATATAAATCATCTGTCGACACAACATAGGGTTAATAAACAATGGTGTGTTGTTAGAGAGACAAAACAAAACCAACAATTAAACTAAAAGGCAAAAAGTAGCATGGTAAAGTAAACAAATTGAAATTATATGAACACATAGAAGGTAAAAGGTGATTCTAGTAATAAATATGGAGCATATAACGGTAACGACAAACCAAGGGAAAAGGGAAAAATACACATAAAACGGTAAGACTTAAGAAACAAACACAAACACATGGAATATAATCTAGTTCCCATTATAGTCATAAACTACACCGCTTCCTAGTGTACTCATGTATTACTCCACTACGTTAATACTCATTATCCACACCTTCCTGTCAAAGGTTATGTCCTCAGTTAACATCCTATCCTTCAAGTCTAACCTTACACTATATTCTACTTTCTTTGCGGACGTACTCTTCTCCTCGGGCCATTAACATTGATCGTTTCTACCCTTGTAGTAGCAACAGTCGTTTCTCCGAATGACATAATTCAACCACCTCCGTTTTCTTTTCCTTAATTTCTCTGTGATAGACGTCATCACGCCACTCCTAACAAATCTCTAAATGTCGAGTTCGGTACCATATCCATCAAACTTTTTCCGCAAGTCCACCTTAACATAGTCATTTCCGCAACCTCCATTTTCCTCCCATGGTTCTTTTTAGTAACCCAACATTTCGATATGTACCATAAAGATGGCATTACTGCCATTTTATAGAATTTCCCTTTTAATTCGAGGATACCTTTTTGTCACACAAAACGTTATGGTTGTTATTTTTCTCCTTGAATGTATTTTTTTAAACTACGTGTTTTAAATAAGATAAAATAAAGTTTAGTATAGCATCTCCAATGGTTAACCTTTACTATCACTTAAAATTAATATCATCTCATCATTCGATTAACTTTAACCTATAATTAAATAACCTCTCCAATGATTAACCTCTTACAATAACTTTTTTCTTTAATTTTTTACATAATCTATCCTTATATATTTAAAATGTTTTTTTTAAATCCCCTCTATTTAATTAGTCATTTTTAAGCACATATTATATTTTATAGATGTTGATTGCCACAAACAAACAAAAATAAAAATAAAAGTATACCAGGTCTTTATTTTATAAACATTAAATAAGAAAACAATTTTTTTTACCAATATTAAACTTTCTTTAACATGTTAAAGAAGAAAGTTTTACATAGACGTAGTGGGTAAACAATCAACAAGTTATGACATAGTTATAAAAAAAGATTAAAAATATTATATAATCGTTATAAATTTCAATTTCATAATAAAATATCATTAAATATATTTTTTTTTTTGAAACGACAAACTAACTAATCTACTTTTAAATAACCATTTATGTCTCCACCGAGACTTGAACCCCTACTAAGGGGTAAAAAGAAATATTATTAAAATATGAGAGGTTAAATAAACTAAACATGAAAGTATATTCACGACTCAATATATTAATATATACTAAATGGTCAATAAAAAAAACAAATAAACTTATAGATCCAATAGTAATAAATCATAAATAATTTAAAACAAATAGTAATAAGTCTTAAAATAAAAAATAGGTAAAAGTTGCATGCTACTTAGGGATAACAGTTAGTACCAAATCTCGATCCCGTATCGGTATCGTACCGTAACCGGTACCAAACCGTACCGATTTTAAAAATATGGGACGGTTGTCGGTACTCTTAAATCATGAAATTCGGGATTCGGTAGCGTTGGTATCGGTGCTAATACCAAAAACCGATACCATTCCCGCTACCGGTACCGGTAATATTCATTCGGTTTGGTACTCAGGGTTTACTTTCGAGCAAATTCGGTTTTTGGAAAATTGGGAACGGTACCGGTCGGTACCGGTTCCGTCCCACGCTCATCCCTAATGCTACTAGGCTATGACTTTATGACATCGTGTTTGACCCATTTCTAAATAAATTTTTAATGGGATTATGATCCAATTAGACATTTTTTGAGGGTATTTTCCAAAATATAGACATAAAATAGGCTATTTCCACATATAGACATGCAATCCGCGGAATGTATTTTTGCTCCGAGAAATCAATGTGGCAAAAAAAAACGAAGAACAATTCCGCGGAAGGATGAACGTTGGAGAACAGTTCCTTGGAGCTCCCTTTGAGGAATCGATGTCGTTCCGTGGAGCTCCATTTTTTTTTGCCACATCGATTTCTCGAAGCATAAGTTCATTCCACGGAGCCTTCGGAGGTAGCTTTGCAGATTGCATGTCTATACATAAAAATAGCCTATTTTGTTACTATATTTTAAAAAATACCCAAAAATGTCTATTTGGGTCGTAATCTCAATTGGTATTTCCAGACGAGTTTCAAATATGTAAAGTATAATGGGCTAAAGTGAAATTTAGCAAAAATTCAGAAAATTCAACGTGACGTGGCCAGAAATGCGTCGCATGTAAATATGCTCTCTCCCTGGTTCTCTCTCTCTCTCTCTCTCTCTGTATACACCGAGAGGGAGACATACACAGTCACACACACGCAAACATATGTACACATATGCAGAGAAAACCTTGGGGTTTATGTAATCTTGAGATTTAGTTAGAATGAGGACTTCAATGGCAGATTTGTGGGGAAAATGGCCAAGAAAAACAGCAGAATTTCTTATTTCTGTAATAAACCAATTAGTTTTCATAGTTTTTGATTTCTTGGATGTCGTAATGTGCATTTTCTTCAGCTATGTTGATAAATTTTTGGAGGGTAAGCCAACCGAATGTTACTGTCGAAGTCAAAATGGAATAAGTGATTGTGAAGAGAAAAACACTGGGATTTCGGATACTCTGTTAGGGAGGAAAAACATTTTTAGGGAAATGGGGTTCTCTCGAATTACGCCTTCCAGATCGGGTCAGAGACAGAGTTCCAAAAAAACTGGAAGTGGTGATATGGGTAAGACTAGGTGGTCTGATTGTGGTTGTGCATCCTGTGTTTCTTGGATGAAAAACGGAGATGATGCGAAGCTTCACGTTGTTGTTAAGGAACCAATACCATCAGAAGGTGAAGGTACTCCTCTTTCTTCTTTTCCTTCATCTGCTTGATGAACCCTAGATATGTAAAGAATTATGTTATGTGTGTTGGCAGGAAATGGTGAAAACGTGATATTTCTACATGGGTTTCTTTCGTCTTCTTTTCTTTGGACAGAATCGGTGTTTCCTGAGTTAAATGGTAGCAAATACAAACTGTTTGCTGTAGATCTTTTGGGATTTGGAAATAGCCCAAAGCCAAGGGAATGTCGCTACACTCTGAATGATCATATGGAAAGGATCGAAAAGTCAGTCATCCATGAATTCAACTTGACTTCATTCCATTTGGTTGCACACTCCATGGGTTGCATAATTGCTTTAGCATTAGCAGCAAAGCATCCAAACAATCTCAAATCCATCACTCTAATTGCTCCAGTAAGTTAAGCTCCTTGATTAATTCTTGCTAAACTAAACCTTGTTGAAGAGCTTGTTCTTATTAGAATCCATTAATTCTTTTTCCAGCCTTGCTTTTTGTCGAGTGGAGAAGAGGAAGCTACTCAAATAGCACTAAAAAAACTGGCGTACAAACGTTTATGGCCACCATTATCGTTTGGTGCCTCATTCATGACATGGTACGAGCATTTAGGCAGATGTGTATGTTTTTTCGTGTGTAGGTACCACACAACATGGGAAAAGATTTTGAAGTTTATCACTCGCCAAAGGTACACTAAAAATTTTCAATTATCATTCATGACATTAAATAAAAATGTTTTTATATGATGATGTGATGTAATTTGCAGGAAGTTGAATTTTTTAGTGAGGGACTTGACGAGGCACACGCACCATTCGGCTTGGCACACGATGCATAATGTGATATGCGGTGGAGCCAAGATGATGGACCCGTGCCTTGAAACCTTGAGAGTGGCTCGAGCCAGGGTGAGCGTGGTTCAGGGATCAAGAGACCTGGTGGTGCCAGTGGAATGCAGCAATAATGTCAAAGTTAAGGTTCCTGATGCAGAGGTCAAGATCATAAATGGTGTTGGTCATACAGCAGTCATAATTGGAAGAGAAAAAGAGTTTGCTAAAGATTTGCAACTTATATGGGATTCTGTTACTAATACAAAGGGTTAGCATGTTGGAATATAGTTTAGTGGATGAATGGTGTGTATTAATCATCAATAAATTTATGCCGTTATTATTTTATTTTATCTTATTTTCCGTTTTATAGATTTAGTTGCATACCAAAAACGCACCAAGTTAAAGCCGAGCCTATAGATGGGATGAAGACAATATGGAATTGGCTCATAAAAACGACAAAAAATGTGAAGCTGGACAAAGGTAGGGACGAATGATAAGACAATAATAGTATGAAAGTAGTGACAGGAAAGATAAGATATTTACAATGATAATTGATTAGTAAATCACATGGGTTTTTCGTATTTGATTTATCTAGTTGGATTGGATTGGATTGGATGTAATGAAATTAGAAAGGAGTGGAATTAACAAGATAACAGAACCAGTCATTACATCAACATCAAATTTTACATATAAGTGTACACTCTGGTTCAAACCTCTGTTAAATATTAAAAGAAGAATTAAAGCAATTTTCAGGTAACAAAACATAATATAAGTGTCATGATCCATGATCTTCAATTTTTTTTTTTTTTAATTATACCATTTAAAAAAGGGTAAACCAGTCCCAAAAATGCAACTCAAGGCGGGTTTGCACTTCATTAGTGAAATGAAGATGATATCCTTTATATTATGATTAAGGTGAAATTGTTCCCAGATTCATCAATTTGAAGTCGCCCTATCATTTTTCTTTTTTCCACACCTTTGAATGATATGAATTAGCCTGATTGGGTAAAAACTGATAAAGAACATGGTTGTTATTAATTGTTCAATAAGATGATAAATGTCAAAGTTCACTCACCATTCAGACGAACAACAGACAAAAGAAAGGCTAAAAAAGAAACAAGTGCCAAGTTTATATTATGATATGCAATAATCATCATATCTATGGATAAGCAGCAACACCCAATAAAGAAATCTAAACCTAAACCTGGAAGAACAGGAAGGGTAGGGTATACATTGAAATCAGTTTTAGTTTTTGGCCCTGGTGGTGTTGTTTTCTTTGATTCTTGATCTGTTATCAAGCTTCACAAAACCTTTTGAGGTCTTCATATGGAAGAGTTTCAATATTTTTCCTTCTAAGCTCACTCAGTGCAGGTTTTTTGTCCAGAAGGTGCCACAGCCACTCTGGATACTCAGAATCTGCAAGTATTTTAGGGTCAGTCCCCTCCTTGAGGATATTTGCCCCTACAACTGTTGTAGATTTCACTTCTTTGCTTAAACTCGACTGCTTTGGAGCATCAGAAGCCCCTCCACCTTTACCCTTTTTGGCTTTACCTCCAACAGCAAATGTTCTACAGCTTCCTAACCCACTGTTAGTCACACCAACATTTCTCAACGACTTTATGCAATTCATTGCCATGCTCGTTTCCTGCAATATTAGCAACCAATACTCGATACTTATCATATCAAAATCATACAATTATATCATATAGATTAGACACTATTATATCACGCGTTTCATTAATCTTGGTGCCACCATGTGGCCAAGCCAAAAATGCAACAATTAATAATTTAAGACTTGGAAATTCATACCTAAAAACAAGGATGTTACATGAATTAACCCTACAAATCGATTTCACACACACATATGATGAGTTTCATACAAATCGATGTCAATACTTTCACAAACGAAGCAAAAAAATTGATTTCACACAAACCCTGAAAAAATCGAGGAGCAAGAACAGAGATAGAACACCAGTTTCACACAAATCGAGCAGGACATGCTTTAGGGCTGGAAAAAGTCGACCAAAAAGATTGGCATGAAAAAAACGACCAAAAAGAAAAGCTTACCGACGAAGGGGGAGGCAGCGAAGACGGAGGCGGAGCCGCGTTGCCGGAGGCGGGTAGAGAGAAGGTGTAGTCGCCTGAGAAGAGAAGAGGGAAAATGGGGGAGGAGAGTGTTCGATGTGTAGGAAGAGGAAGAAAAAAGTGGCCGACGTGTTTTTTTTTTTGGGAAAGGGTAGCAGACAAAAAAATTTCGTTATCGATTCAGATCAATTTTTTTTTTGCCACATCTGACTGATTAAGAGGGTAAAAATATTCCAACCAAACACTCTGAATCTAACCTTTTAATGGGATCGTTAAGAGGTGAAACAAACAGCTCCTTAATAGGGTAATATATTTATCATTTTGTACATATTTAGTCTTTAATATTGGTTTTGTTGCAAAATTAGCTTTGTTGTTTTTGTACATAGTCAATATGTATGACCAGTTTCTTTAAGTTTTTTCACAACATCTTACGTGAGACAATCATTAATAAGGTGTTTTGGGATGTTGATGCTTATGGCCACCGTGGCCTCGACTACTTAGGTCTTATGATTTGGTTTAGGTCTTGTGTTCTAATCATCGTAACTTCTTCATACAATCTTAGATTTTAATGATCTTTATATCCACGCGTTCATAATTAAGTTTAATACAATTTTCGTTTAGTTTACTCTCGTTAAAAAACAATGTATTTTTACTTACAATTTTATAAAAAAAATGTTCATACATATATTCATAAAGAACACATGGATATAAAGATCGTAATTAAAAATATATTAATTTTTAAGGGCAGTAATCTAAACGAAAGTTTTAGTATACTCAAATATGAACATGTAGATATAAATACCGTTAAAATCCGAAATCATATGAAGAAGTTACAACGTTCAGAGCACAAGACCTAAGTCAAACCACAAGACCTATGCAGCCGAAGCGGTAGTGGCCATAAGCATCAACAACTTTGAACACTTTATTAGTGACTGTCTCACGTAGGATATCGTGAGCAAAATATAAAAAACCAGACATAACAACTGAATGTGTACAAAAACAACAAAGACTTATTTTGCAACAAAAAAACATTAAAGACTAAATGTGCAAAAAAAATGAAGAACTAAATGTGCACAAAGTGAGAAATATATTACTCTATTAAGTCATTTTTTCGGTTTACCTAGAATACCCGGTCATAAGGACTGAATGTCTATAGTTTAACAAGTTGAAGGGGTAAATCTGAACAAAAAAAAAATTAGTGACTACACGTGTACAAATCGAAAATTATATTACCCTTTTAAGTCATTATCATTTTTTCAATTAAAGTTATTTTATTGAAAAATTCCAACAATAACCTTTTCTATTATAGATGTTTTGAGTTGGTTCTATTTGGAATGCGTTATGGATTGAATTGGGTGACGTTCCAGATTTCATACTTAGATATATGTAGACCGTGCATTGGGTATCAGTGAATCGTGAACTGGGTGGATGGGAACATGAGTGGGACACGTTGATTTTGGCCTTTTCCCAACCTAATCCAGTTCGAATTCATCTTTGAAATGTATATGCTTTTGATTATCCTTTACATTATAAATAAGAGTAAATTATTGAAATCGTCCTTATGGTTTGGGTAAAATTACGCATTTGGTCCCTAACATTTTTTTTTTTGCACTCGGACAATCCTTGTGTTTTGTTTTCGTTTCGTTTTTGGTCCCCGACCGACTTAAAATGACCATACTACCCTTAGTATATATTTTATGTATTTTTCTAATTGTTAATATTAATTAATTTATTTATTGTTATATAATTAACAAAGGTACAACCCTTTAAGTTGATGTACAACCACACTCAAAATAACTTGTTCAAAGTGCATAGGTAATCTTGATAGCCACCACCGCAAAGTTACTCTGCTGTTGTATCTCTCTTCTCTACCGGTCACCACCTCCGGAAACCACCTCTCCGGTAACCACAAAAATTAAACCTGATGCTATCTTTTTAGAAAAAAATAAATCCAAAAAAATATTGAATGAAGCAAATAAAGTCGTTATGTATTACCTGTATAATCGATTTAGTCCCTATAGTTTTTTTTTTTGCAATTAAGTCCTAATTACTGGTAAACGTAATCAAAACGGGATAATTATTGGGTTAGCCGGTACCCCACCGGTACTATGCGTATGTGGCACCTTACGTGTAAATGAGGGTTTTACCCTTCCATTTTCACTTCGTTCGTCATCTAGATAAATCGGCTGAGAGAAAAAGGTTAGGGTTTTACAGAGAGAAACATGAAGGAAGTAGGGTTTTACTGAGAGAAACGAAGGTAAACCCCGACCGTTTTTGTTAATGGTTGTCGAATCAAACGAAGTTCACCATGATTACCATGAATCATCTGAAGAATACGACTCTGAAGAATACGGCGATGATGAGGAGGTGCTCGATACTGAGCACATAGATGTGGAAATGGAAGAAGATGATTTCAAGACACAGGGTGTAACGCCCGTAGATTCGGGCTAGTCAATTTAGAGACAATGAGCGTCAAAAATGACTTTTTTATGGAAGATTATTTAAAAGGAGTAATCTTAACCAAGTTATAGTATATGTCACTAGGGTTCCGTACATATAAAGAACGCCGAAATCCGAGTTATAACAAAGAAGTTATGACCCGTCGAAGTTTTACGGCAAAACCGGCATGACACCGGGAATCGTAAAAAGTGAATTTACGATAAAATACTTTCTAGCCTTAGCGATCTAAACGAAAGTCGTAGTATATGTTAAACCGAGAGTGTGCATAAAAAGAACGTCCAAATCTGACTCCGTATGAGGAAGTTATGATTTTTCTAAGATTTAGCACAACAGTGCACAACCCGAAATTCGAATTTTAGATCGGTCGATTTTTAACCAAAACAGTCTAAACGAGAATTTAAGATCTCGTTAATAGGAATTCAACGATAAAAAGACAGTAAAAAACGGAGCTCGTATGCGAAAGATATGGACGAAACTTAGTCCCTACTCTTCGAGCGCGGCGAATTCGATACAGTTTTGTAAATCTGAGATAGAGTGAGAATTAGCCAACGGGATCTAAATGAAAGTTGTATTACTCGTAAATACCAACGCGTGGATATAAATAACGTCGATAATAGACCTCGTATGCGAAAGATATGGACAAAACTTAGTCCCTACTCTTCGAGTGCGATAAATTCGATACAGTTTTGCAAATCGGAGATAGAATGAGAATTAGCCGACGAGGTCTAAATGAAAGTTGTAGTACTCGTAAATACCAACGCGTGGATATAAAGAACGTAGAAAACGGAGCTCATACGCGGAAGATACGGACGAAACTTAGGGCCTACTCTACGAGAAAACTCCTATAAATAAGAGATGAACTCTTCATATTTTCTTCACACCATAAGCTTTTCTTTCTCTCTATAACTTCTCTCTAGACTCCCTAAAGCCCCCCCTAAAGCCTAGGAAACTTTCCTAGCGCTAGAAGAAAGCCCCGGAGCGCACGAAGGCTCCGAGAAAAAGAGCTTTTTGGCTCAGAAGCTCTGCTCCAGCGGAGCCCGGTTTTTAATAAAACCCGCTGTAAGTGAAATAAGCCTACCATACTTTAAATATAGATTATATTTAAATATAATATTGTTATTATGAACCTAGAAATAAGATTTATCAGTGATTCAAAGTCGTTATACTAATTGATCTACTTACGGGAATGATGTCTAGGCTGTGATTTAGTGAGGTGTTTAAAGTGGGATTTCCAAATAGTATACTTCGTATACCAAACGGACCTTACCTCCGATATGATCCTACCTGGTTGTTCATTACTTGATAGATCATGAAAGTACACTTTGAGTTAATGATGAATCTAGACTAATAATTAGTCGCAATAAAGATTAGACTAAAACTTAGCGATAATAATGCTAGGTTTCGAGAGGGAAAATAGAATCGTAAAAGCGAAGCACTGCCCAAGTTTGGAATCATCACTTTAACAAGTGAGTGCATAGTTACTTTCATCTTACACATAGATATGAAGTATTTTATATAAATTACGTGCTATGTGTGTATACTGTCTGAATACTTGTTGTCTATGCTGAATGAAACGTTTAATACATGTTTTAAATGATCTAAACTGTATATGTACTTTATATCTACAAAATGTTTTGGGTAAAACATGGGTAGATTAGAGGTGAGATAAATGATGAGCGATGAAAGATGAGATAAATGATGAGCGATGAAAGATGAGATGAATGATGAGTGATAAAATATGGTGCGAAGCGATGACCTAAGCGATGAGCCAAAACGATGAGCCAAAGCGATGAGCCAAAACGATGAGCCAAAACGATGAGCCAAACGATGACCCAAACGATGGCCCCGTCATCTAGCAGAGTATGGATGACAACCACGAACTATTCTAGACAGTCCAGTGGAACACTAGCAGGCTCGCAACCTGTAGGTGTTGTGAACGATGTGTTCACCAGACGTTTTGAACTGCGTGTTCACCAGATGTTTTAAACTGTGTGTTCACCAGATGTAACCTGTTGTATAAACCCTGGCGACTATGAGACTTAGTGCCTAAACCCTGGCAACTATGCGACTTAGTGCCTGTTGAGTAAACCCTGGCAACGATGGATTTCGTGCCGATTCCTTAGGATGATCCTTAGGAATGAATGAACGAGGAATAACTAATTCTTAGGGTAGATCCTTAAGAGTAAAGAAGATAATGGGGATGAGTAATTGGGTTGATTGTTTGATGCTTAAACATAATAATTATATTATTGTGGGTTGAAAACCCTATGTACTCACCAGGTTTCCCAACCTGACCCACTCAAGCTTATTTGTATCACAAGTGTCGATACGAAGTTACATTACACTGAGAGATTAAAGAGGTGTAGATCACTAGTGTAAATGAATGTAAGTTCTGTTTATTCTTATGTTTCTGTATTGACAATGACATCCCAAATGTTTTAAAATGAATAAAAATACATTTCTTCGGAAATGATTTGATAACGTATTTATCATGTTTTACTGGGAACACGTTCCGCAACATTTTTATTAAAAGAAGTACTCTAATTTTTATAAAGAATAAACAAAATAGGTCTTTTATGGCCATGAAAATGGGGATGTCACACAGGGTAAAGAGAAATGCAAGGATACTTTCTTTATTCCGAGAGAAAGAGAGATGAGCATAATAAATATTGTGGAATATTATAAATTTACACAAATCATGAACTTTTGAGGCTATAAATTTAGATTAACACGAGGCTATAAATTTAGATTAACAAAACCCATGGGTTTTAAGAAATTGAGTTGCGGATTATAGCTAGGGCAACAAATTAATTAGAGTAACACATCGATATGTAATATGTTTTACATGATCGATAATAATTGCTATTGTCGATTGATGATGTCCTATTAATGTTAGCTCTGCACTTAATTAATTAATAAATGGTTTTTGGTCTAACGGTAACGAGTGACACTCTCAAATGAGAGGTCATGGGTTCAAGTCTCGTTAGGAGACATATGTAGTTTTAGGAGTACGTTAGTTTGCCGGTTCAAAAAAAATAAATAGTATATACTTGCATATCTTAAATCTTTTATTTAATAATAAAAATCCATGCATACATCGACTAAAAAGCTCCAGTTGACCACTTTTTTATCGGTCTTAGTTAGGGGTGTAACTGAGTCGAGACAACTCGTGAGATACTGAAGAGTCAAGACCGACTCGAAAAATACTCGAAATCGACTTGGTTCAAGTCGATTCGAGCTCGAGCTCCAACTACTCGAGTATATTATCGAACTAAGATTGAGTATTGGAATACTCGGCTTGTGAAAGTCGTGAGCTTAATCGAACATTGTTGTATTTACACTTTTACCATTAATTTATTTTATTCATATTTACATATTATAAAATCGACTCAAAACTCATGAGCTTAATCACATTTCTATTGTAATTTAGTTTTTCTAATAGCTAACTGAGTCGAGTCGAGTCAAATCAAACTCGAAGGCCTTATAAAGCTTGAGCTCGAGCTTTAAGTTAAGGCTTGAGTCAAGCTCGAACTCGAGTTTTTTAGTTAAGTCAAGTTTCAAGCTTGTTAGTGTTCAACTCCGCTCGACAAAATTACACCCTTAATCTTGGCCAAGTTATCCATTACTATTGTTTACATTTTAAATAAGGTTGCAGTTACACCGAAGTTTCTTTGTTTTCTTATTTGAATTCTTAAGTCCTTGAATTTCTTGATTTACATTTTCTTAGGTTCTTTAACTTTTTTTCGTTTATATAATTGTTTTGTACATGTTATTTCACAAATTGTTTTTAAAACATTATTTTTTTATTTCATTTTAAATGTTGTTTTACAATTAGTTGATAACTTTACTTTTATATGTTCTTTTCACAATTCGTTTTTATACTTTATTTCATCATTGTTACAACGTGAATTTTT